TCTTATCATATGACCCACCTGTCTAAATCTTCTAATGCTCCCCATTGCCCACTACTACCCGTTCCCAGAAGGTACCATGCTCCCACAGGTATCCGTGCCTTTGCATATACTAAACCTTCTTCCTGCCTCAATGCTCTTCTTGTTCTTTGAATAATTCCTATGTCCCTTCAAGATTCATTTCAGGCTGGGCACGGTGGCTCATGCCTGTAATCCCAACATTTTGGGAGATTGAGGCAGGAGGATCACTTGAATTCAGGAGTTCAAGAGCCTGGACAACATATTGAGACCCTGTTCTATGAAAGAGAGAGAGAGAGAGAGAGAGAGAAGGATTCAGGCATGCTTTATGCTGAAAGTATAGAACTGTCATAACTACAGAGCACGAGCGTGGAGATTTTGGGGAATCAAGGGGATGATAATAAATGGAACAAGTGCCTGAAGAGGCAGAAGGGAGGGGCCTTGAGCACAGGTGTTTCCTAATTAAATGATGAGTTGGTATGAAGATGGATGGAAACTTGGGGAGAATAGTGAAGGCCTGGGAGATAGAGTTGGCTAGGGGCCCTCAGCAGCTTCCCACAATTCTTTTGTGACCTCTTTCTCGTTTCCCTCATCCTCCACAAATCACGGGCCACTATTCAGTGTTCTTGAACTGTCTTGTCTGTGAAATGTATTGAGCTCCAGCAATCAATCCATCAATCAGTTTAGTCCTTATATAGGAGACTATGTGTAAAACATTTAGCCCAGAACCAAGTACACGGGAGACACTCAGTTAATTGTAGCCCTTGGTATCTTTACCAGCAAGAATGCATGTTGTCTCTTCTAGCTGCTGCACAGCTGTGTGTACAGTATAATATGAGTCCTTGCCCTCCTTGAACTTGTGTTATTGTTGAGGAAGAAAGATGTACCCACAAAATAATTAAAAAGCAATACAAAGGAACATGTAGTGGCCACCAGTATCCAAATTGTGCTTCCATCATTATTATTATTATTATTATTATTATTATTATTGAGACACACCCTCACTCTGTTGCTGAAGTGCAGTGGTGTGATCCTGGCTCACTGTAACCTCCACCTCCTGGGTTTAAACAATTCTCGTGCCTCAGCCTCCCAAGTAGCTGGGACTACAGGACAGTGCCACCATGCCTGGCTAATTTTTGTATTTTTAGTAGAGATGGGGTTTCACCATGTTGGCCAGGCTGATCTCGAACTCCTTACCTCAGGTGATCCGCCCACCTTGGCCTCCCAAAGTGCTGGAATTGCTTTTTTTTTTTTTTTACACAACCAGCACTAAAAAGTATGTTTTACATCATGACTTAGAATTCAGATACATATAGGGCAGGCAGTGGTGGCTCATGGCTGTAATCCCAGCACTTTGGGAGGGTGAGGTGGGTGGATCACCTGAGGCCAGGAGTTCAAGACCAGCCTGACCAATATGGTGTCTCTACTAAAAATACAAAAATTAGCTGGGTGTCATGGCATGCACCTGTAGTCCCAGCTACTGGGGAGGCTGAGACAAGAGAATTCCTTGAACCTGGGAGGCGGAAGTTGCAGTGAGCTGAGATCACGCCACTGTACTCCAGCCTGGGCAACAGAGGGAGACTCCATCTCAAAAAAAAAAAAAAAAAAAAAAAAAGAATTCAGATACATATATAAAGCTGAAACAAAAGTTTAATTAAACAATACTTATCCTTACTTCACATGATGCCTTCTGATATTTTCTGTACTGTTCTATTCTACTTCAGTTTTATTTTTTAATTTTATTCACTTTTTTATTTTTATTTTTTATTTTTTGAGATGGAGTCTTGCTCTGTTGCCCAGAATGGAGTGTAGTTGTATGATCTCACCTCACTGCAGCCTCTACCTCTTGGGTTCCAGTGATTCTCCTGCCTCAGCCTCCCAGGTAGCTGGGATTACAGGCACGTGCCACTGTGCCCAGTTAATTTTTTGTGTTTTTTAGTAGAGACGAGGCTTCATCATGTTGGCCAGGCTGGTCTCGAACTCCTGACCTCAGGTGATCCACCCACCTCGGCCTCTCAAAGTGCTAGGATTACAGGCATGAGCCGCTGCACCTGGCCTTCAGTTTTAAAGAGTGATGGTCAAGACACTGTTTTTTTTTTTTTTTTTAATGTTTTGGTTTTTAATTTTGTTTTAAATTTTTTTCATAGACATGGGATGTTGCTATGTTGCCCAGGCTGGTCTCGAACTCCTGGCCTCCAGCAATCCTCCTGCCTCAGCCTCCCAGAGTATTGGGATTACAGGTGTGAGCCATTGTGCCTGGTCAAGATGCTGTTATGGGCTGAGTTGTGTTCCTCAAAAATTCTCTTGAAGTCCTAATCCCAAGTACCTCAGGATGTGACCTTATTTTGAAGGACCCACTTACAGGGTCTTTACAGAGGTAATTAAGTTAAAATGAGGCCATTAGGGTGGTGCTTAATGCAATATGACTGGTATCCTTGAAAGAAGGGGAAACTTGGAGGCTGACTTGCATACAAAGAGAACACTGTGTGAATGTGAAAATGGCCATCTACAAGCCAAGGAGGGAGGCCTGGAACAGAGCTTTCCTTCACATCCCTGAGAAAGAATCAATCAACCCTGCTCATGTTAACCTTGATCTTGGACTTCTAGCCTCCAGCATCTTGAGAGATTTCTGTTGTTTAAGTCATACAATTTGTAGTACTTTGTTACAGCAGCCCTAGCAAACTGATACACTCACCAAATTGATTTTGTGACCCACTATTGGGTTGTAAAATTGATTTTGTGACTCACTATTGGGTTGTAACCGGCAGTACACAGACATAAAGTTATTTTTTCCTTATGCTTTCTCTTGTGCAATCTTGTGTGTGTGTGTGTGTGTGTGTGACGTAGTCTCGTTCTGTCACCAGGCTGGAGTGCAGTGGCGTGATCTTGGCTCACTACAATCTCTGCCTCCCAGGTTCAAATGATTTCCCTGCCTCAGCCTCCCAAGTAGCTGGGACTACAGGCATGCACTACCACGCCTGACTAATTTTTTGTGTTTTTAGTAGAGACAGGGTTTCACCATGTTGACCGGGATGGTCTCAATCTCCTGACCTTGTGATCTGCCTGCCTCAGCCTCCCAAAGTCCTGGGATTACAGGCATGAGCCTCTCTTGTGCAATCTTTACCACCACTCGATGGGATGGCAGGGCCCAGGGGAGGGTGATACAGTCACCCTCACAGTCATGCAGGTGCAGATGTCATTAATGAAGGTCTGACAGACCCTGCAATTGTACAATCTGAAGATGAGTATCTCCTTAAATTTCATACTCTAGGCACTTTACCCTAGCCTAGACTCTGTTGAAGTAGGTATGACTATTATTCTCATTTGAGGGATTGACACCTGATTGAGAACCTCCTGAATGGAATCAGACCCAAGCCAGATTTGCCTCTAAATTCTGTTTTTTTTCCCCCTTACATCACAGTGTTCCCATTGGTATAATCAGTTAGAGAGGGAGACAATAAATAGCATTTTTCTACCAGTACTTGCCCCTTGCCTTCCTACCCCTTAAAAGGAGCCAAAGTCAGAGAGCACATTTACTCTTTTCCCTCCTGCTACCCAAGTCTTTGGGAACTTGTAGCTCTGACACCCCTAGATGGTGAAACCTGGCTTCACCTACTGTCTGTGGATGTCTGCAGGCAGAGTGGGCACCCGGGAGCACATACAAAGCACGTGTGCCGTGAACACGTATGTGCACACACCTTGATCCTAGGATGGCTTGTTGGACAAGCCAATGGACAGAGTCCCTGCCTGCCACCTCCACCCGTGCCTCCCTTCTCTTCCATTCACTGCCCTGCAGACACAGCGGACACATATGGACATACACTCTCAATAGGATTCTTTTGGCAGTAATATGACCCCCAAATCTGGGGACTTCTATGTAGGATGGAGACCCTTCTCCTTTCCTCATACCTGGTTTATTAAGAACCCTAAAAATAGTGCCTGACAGTTACTGTGTGTCAGTCACTGTTCTAAGCCTTCAGATGTATTACTGCATTTGATTCTCACAATATTATGAGTTAAGACTTATTTGCTCCACTTTACAGATGACGAGAATGAATCACAGAGTAAATTGCCCAGGGTTGTGTGGTTAGCAGCATTAGCAGGATTTGAACCCAAGCAGCCTGTATGCACGGTCCAGTCTCTTAACTGCTATATTCTGCTGTGTTCAAACCCTCTGCTGTCTGGCTGGATCCACACACATGCACTCATGCACAGACCTGCGGGGTACCAAGGGATAGAGTGGGAGGAGCTGGGTCTGGAAATCAGTTCAGGCACCAGGGGGCAGCATAGGCCTAGCTTTGGCCCCTCAGCCCAGCCCGGCTATGGGAGGGAGGAGGGGAGCAGAAACTTCCTCCCGCCGCCCCTCAGACACCACCTCTTCCACACACCTGGGCTCTCAGGTGTCCGGGAGTAAAGGCCTCTCTGGGTCCCTTGGTCTCCTCCAGCTCCTCCCCCAGCAAAAACTGCAGAACCCTCCACTAGTTATGATGATGACTCAGAAGCTGAGCAAGACTGTGTGTGTGTGTGTGTGTGTGCGTGCGTGTGCGTGTGGTGTTGTGATTACAGTGGGCTCTGAGTGCGGATATGTTTGTGAGCCTGCCTGCACGTGTGTGTGTGTGTGTGTGTGTGTGTGTGTGTGTAGTCTTGTGGTCAGGGAAGTTGTGCATGTGTGTGTTTGTTTCTTGGCGTGTCTCAGTGTTTACCCCAGAAACAGATAGGAACTTGGCAGATAGGAACACAGCAGATTCGTATTCAAACTTGTCCCTTGTGAATCTGCAGGCAGCAGCTCCGGCTTGTGCTGGTTCCCCCCACAGTCTCAGGAGGGGTGCCCTGTGAGGAGAGGGCAAAGACCAGCTTCAGTCCAAGGAACTCCTGGAGTCTTCCAGAATTCTGAGCTGAGGGTTCCCCTCCCCCACTCCCTCCCGTCAGTGGTCACGAGACCGACCTCTAAGGCGTTCCCTGCCAGAAGGGAGGGGGACCTAGGAGTTGGCTGGCATCGAGCTCCCCGGCTGCTTTTCAGGGTCCTCCACTGGAGGGAGCGCAGAGTCCAGAGGGATTTACTTTTCCTGAGGCCCTGGGGAGCCCAGTCCCTCGTGGGCCCAAACCCCAGCCCTTGGCAGAGTTTGAGTTTGGGAGCCAAGCAGTTAGGGGTGGCATGTCTCTGTTTGATATTGGGTGACTTTCTGGAGAAAAGCTGATGCTTTTGAGGGGGGCCAGAGTAAGTGGGGGTCAGTCTCCGCCGGAGCCTGGCTCCAGGGCCTGGACCCCAGTCCTGATCCCCCACGTGCTCCCTGACTCGGCACAGGAGGCACACATATTCACCCCACTTTCTTCCTCTTCCTCCTCCAGCCCACTTTCTCTTCTCTGTGTCGTCAGAGCTCCAGGGAGGGACCTGGGTAGAAGGAGAAGCCGGAAACAGCGGGCTGGGGCAGCCACTGCTTACACTGAAGAGGGAGGACGGGAGAGGAGTGTGTGTGTGTGTATGTATGTGTGTGTTTTATTTTATTTTTCTTTTTGGTGATGGTGGTGGAAGGGGGGAGGTGCTAGCAGGGCCAGCCTTGAACTCGCTGGACAGAGCTACAGACCTATGGGGCCTGGCAGTGCCCGCTGAGAAAGGGAGAAGACAGCAGAGGGGTTGCCTCCGAGGTGGGTGCGGGGGCCTCTTTGAGTGTGTGGGGGTGGATTCGGCGGGGGAGCTCTCGGGATCCTCCCCTGGCTGGGTGGATGGTCCCCAAGAGATGGTTTCAGCTAGTGTTGGTGGCTGGTGGCACTGGGTTTTGGCAGTTTCGAACTCCTGGAGGAATCTGGGAGGGTCCAGGCCTCAGTACTCCCCTCCCCCATGGGTCACGTTTTCACAGGCTCACCCCTGCACCCCCAGGGCAATGGAAAGTCAGGGAAAGAAGGTGAAGGAGTGCTCCTCTGCCCTGGGTCGGGGGAAGTGGTCGCCCCTCCCTGGAAGGTTGATGCCAGAGGGCAGTGGATCCTCGTTAAACCCCTATCCTGCCCTCCGCTAAAGGTTCCTGTTCAAGGGTGTGGCTGGGGGATGAGCGAGCCCCAGATGTAGACCTCATGGTGCCCCAGAGGAGGGGGAATTTCCCCCTCAAAACTGCTCCACGCTTGGCTGCTGTAGACGCTGAGACTTCCCAACGGTGGCGCCGAGTTAACCCTCCTCGTGCTGAACTGGCTCCACCTCCCCGCCCGCCCCCACCGCCACATCCACACATTGGGCAACTCAGAGAAGCTGTTTTAACTTTCGATCCTGTGGTCCCACAGTCAGAGGACTCTGGGAGGTAGGGGTTGAGATAATCGAATTTAGGCCACCAAGCGGGCGGACGAGGATCCCAGACCTTGCGCTTCCCTTCTGGGTTTGGGAGGGAACACTGGCCCCGCCCCTCACGCCGTGGTTCCTCCCTCCCTTCCCCTACAGCGGGCTGAACGCTAAAGGAACCCCTGTCCTGGTCAAGCCAATCGACCCAGCCTTGTTATGAGTTGGGGTGGGGAGAAATGTGTCCTCCTGATGTCTGGGGAAGAAGAGGGGTTGGATATTTCTAGCCAGGGCCATGCCAGGAGGCTGGTCACTTTGCAAGGGGATGCAGAGGAAAGCGATGCCCACCCACTCCAGAGGACCTTTCTCTCTTGGGTTAGAGAAAGGCCTATTGGAGGAGCCTGAGCAGGAGGGGTAAGGATTCGCCTTGAGGAGAAAAGAGCTGGGGGGAGTGGGAACTGGAGGAAAGAGGGGCATGAAGGTCTTGGAGCAGGAAGGTCCAGAGAAGGGGCCTCTCCATTTTCCATCCCTTTGAGAGTCCTGGGTGAAGTGAGAGGCTGAACGTGGAACAGGAGGACTTGGGGTTACTGGGTTTTGGGAGACCGGGGGAGTTGTCATCCCATCCTCTCCCTCATCTCTAGGAGAGGGATATTGTGAGAAACGTGAACTGAGAGGCCCCTGGGAAACCACTGGTCTACCCAGTTCCCCCTGAACCTGGAAATGGGGATGCAACCCCCTCCTCTACTTCCCTGTCCCCTTCTCTCCTTTCTCCCTCTTTTCGTCTCTCTTCTTCACCTCCAGCTTCCTCTCTCTTCTAGGCTCTTTCCTCCTGGCTTACTAAACCTGCCTTTTTTTCCAGTCTCTCCCATCCTCTTCCTTAGTTCTCTCTACTTTCCTTTTCCAACTCTCCTCCTTCAAGTCTCCTCCCATCTTCCCCCACTTCTTAGGATGATCAGATTTGCCCCTGGAAGGGATCCTAACAACACAGTGCGATGGTTAATCCCCACTCAGATTCAAAGCCTGCTTTCCAAACTCACCTACTGAATGACCTTGGGCAGGGTAGAGAAACTCCTTAAGCCTCAGTTTCTTCATCTATAAAATGGATATTATATATTTTCAAAAGTGTCATGAGGCCTGAATGAGATAATGCACTGAGTGTAATGCCTCCTACGTGGTAAGTGCTTAACAAATAGTAGCTGTTATTACTCTCCCGTCCTCTTCATCATCTAGCCTTGTGGTTTTCATTTTTATTTTATTTTATTTACTTATATATATATATTTTTGAGACAGAGTCTCGCTCTGTCGCCCAGGCTTGAGTACAGTGGTGTAATCTCGGCTCGCTGCAAGCTCCGCCTCCCGGGTTCACACTGTTCTCTCACCTCAGCCTCCCCAGTAGCTGGGACTACAGGGGCCTGCCACCACGCCCTGCTAATTTTGTTTTGTATTTTTAGTAGAGACAGGGTTTCACTGTGTTAGCCAGGATGGTCTTGATCTCCTGACCTAGTGATCTGCCCACCTCGGCCTCCCAAAGTGCTGGGATTACAGGTGTGAGCCACCGCTCCCGGCCGAGCCTTGTGGTTTTCAAATTATCTCATGGAGTCCTAGAATTTTGAGAGGTTTGTCTAGGGACGCCTTTGGCGTCAGGAGATGGGGAGAGGGAAGTAGAAGCAGTCAAGTTTCAGGCTTTCCATGCTTGCTTTCAACAGGGCATCTTCAGTTTCGTACCTTTTATGTGATTGAGATTCCACAGATTAAAAGCTGACATTGCCTACTGCTTTAAAAAGTTTGGAAAGTTTTCCATTCATCTAACACTCATATTGTATAGATGAGAAAAATCAAAGCCCACACAGGGAAGACTCCTTGCCCACAGAACCAGAGTCAGGTCTAGAGCTGCAACCAAATTCTCTGCCATCTCCAAGAGAGCTCTCTCCCTACTGCCCTGTCTCCCTTTGCCTCCCCACCCCTCTGGCTACAGCTCAGCTCTTTCTACCCCTGTGTCTATCACTGAAGGAGTTACCCCCATCTCAGTCATTGACCCAGGATGCCCCTGGTTTAAGGTGGTCTGGCCGTGAGTGGTGGTGGGGATGGTCCCTAGGAGGGCTATCTATAGGAGGTCCCTGGCTGCTCCAGAAGATAGGCCAAGTTTCTTGGGCACCCCTCAGAGTGGCCTTATTTTTCTCCTCCAGGCAACCTCCAAGTCCCAGATAATGTCTCTGTGGGGTCTGGTCTCCAAGATGCCCCCAGAAAAAGTGCAGCGGCTCTATGTCGACTTTCCCCAACACCTGCGGCATCTTCTGGGTGACTGGCTGGAGAGCCAGCCCTGGTGAGTCCTGGCTGTTCCCTGCTGGTTCCCCAAGTCTCCCCTGACTCATCTTCCTTCTCCTTAGATTTTTTCCCCTCAGCCATGGATTCAGAACTTGAGACCTGTTATTCCATGTGTAGTGACCTAGATTTAGCAGGGAGTCTGTGCCCCATCAAGACCAGCCTATGAATGTTGACAGATGGAGACCTCATCTCTTAGGAGGTTGAGCTGAAGAGGAGGGAGGTTTGGGCTGGGACAAAGGCACTTCTCATAACAGCTAGAAGACTGGGGAACAAGGAGCACGGGTGAAAGCTACAGAGGGCCTAGATGGAGAATAAGGAGCGAGAAAGGAACTGCTGAGCATTTGGCTGTGGGGTAAAGGGTCAGGAGAGCTGAGGAAGCCCTGGCCTGAGGTAGCCTCATCCTGATCTTCCTGCAGGGAGTTCCTGGTCGGCTCAGACGCCTTCTGCTGCAACATGGCTACTGCCCTACTTTCAGACACTGTCCAGCGCCTTCAGGCCTCAGCGGGAGAGCAGGGGGAGGGGAACACCATCTTGCAACACATCAGTACCCTGGAGGTGGGGCAGGAGGGGAGGGAACAAGGCTGGGTGGGGCTGAGGTTGAACTGGGTTGAGCATTGGGCCCTGGAAGAAAATTGGTTGGATGCTGGAAGCAAATTTGTGTTCCTGTGGTTAGCTGCTAGCTAGCAGGCAAATTAGATTTTAAAAGCATGCAAATGCACAAAAACTTCTGGAGTCTACAGTTGTGCTGCCTTATAGTATATGTATGAATGGGGGCCTGGGGATTGGAGGGATGGAGGGACATGGGTAAGAGCCAAGCTCACTGTTTACCACTCTCATTTCTATAGAGCATATATCAGAGGGACCCCCTGAAGCTGGTGGCCACTTTCAGACAAATACTTCAAGGAGAGAAAAAAGCTGTTATGGAACAGGTATTGTGATATTCTACTTCCCCCCCCCAACTCAATTTCCTAAGACTTTGGCCTGAGCCATGACAAACTAGAAAGAATTTGAACCTCAGCAAAGGCTCAGTGTTCTAGGCCCAGGAATAACCAAAGGAGGTTCTTAGGGTCAGAGTGAACCCCAAGTCAAGCTCAGGGAATCTTTCTATGAGGGACTGAGGGTAAGAGGCCTGGAGAGAACACAGCAAGGGATAAGGAGCTGATTCTGCTAGGAGCAAGGTCCCACGATATTCCAAAAGGTCAAGAAGAACTGCCAAAGGGGAGATGGGAGCAAGAAAACGCTCTCTGCAGAGCAGAGTAGAGGCCAGGTATAGAGGGATGAGCAGAGTGTTTCACCTCTTGGCATCTGTCCTTCCTGCGTAGTTTCGCCACTTGCCAATGCCTTTCCACTGGAAGCAGGAAGAACTCAAGTTCAAGACAGCCCTGCGGAGGCTGCAGCACCGAGTAGGGGAGATCCACCTTCTTCGAGAAGCCCTGCAGAAGGGGGCTGAGGCTGGCCAAGGTGGGGGCCAGGGTGGTTCTGGGGAGTGTATGGGAGTGGTCCCCTCTTGGATCTCAACCTTAACTGAACCTCTAATCTGTCTGCACCCTTGATTTCTGCCCCCAACCCTCAGTGTCTCTGCACAGCTTGATAGAAACTCCTGCTAATGGGACTGGGCCAAGTGAGGTGAGTAATGGGCTGAGAGGTGGAGACTGAGGTCAAAGTGCAGCTGGAGGGATGGAAGCCAGACCTCAGAGACACACAGGCTGAAGTAGGGTAAGGGAATTCCAGAGGAGTGAGAAAAAGAGCCGTATCCCAGGAGCTGGGTGCGGAGGCAGCGTGAGGCTCTGGCTCAGGCCCCTTTCTGCCCATAGGCCCTGGCCATGCTACTGCAGGAGACCACTGGAGAACTGGAGACAGCCAAGGCCCTAGTGCTGAAGAGGATCCAGATTTGGAAACGGCAGCAGCAGCTGGCAGGGAATGGCGCACCCTTTGAGGAGAGCCTGGCCCCACTCCAGGAGAGGTTGGGCCAGGGCTGATGGGGAAGGGGGGATAAGCTGGGGGTGGGCAGCTGACACTGCTGGAGGCCCTACAGGTGAGAGAGAGAAGCCAGGCGGCAGGGCCTTGGAGTGGACCAAGATGCATAAAAGCCGGTTCCAGCGGGGCTGTGCACACTGTCATTCAGGTTGCATCCTGTACAAGTGGGCCCAGTCGAGAGGCACAAACAGGGACTCATCCAACCCAGGCTTCTCTCCATGCCCAGAGGAATAGGAGGGCTTTTCCATTTGGTTTATTGGGTGGGAACACTTTCCAATTTGCTACAAAGCACTGTAAGGGCGGGTAGCTGTCCTGGGTGCAAGAGCCATCGGGGGAGAGGCAGCTGGGTTTCCACAGGGGTGTAGGCACTGAGAACGAACCTCCCACCCAGACCCTAGGCCAACAGATCACAGAACCCCCTTCAGCCCAGGTGCCTTGCAGCCACACCCACTACCCACCCCACTCCTCCACGCATGATAGCCTTTCTCCCTGGGTACAGTGGAAGGGGGTCTGGGCCGGAGCAAGCAGCCTTAATCCTATGCCCCCTGACCACTGTCCTGGCCCCAGGTGTGAGAGCCTGGTGGACATTTATTCCCAGCTACAGCAGGAGATAGGGGCGGCTGGTGGGGAGCTTGAGCCCAAGACCCGGGCATCGCTGATTGGCCGGCTGGATGAAGTCCTGCGAACCCTCGTCACCAGGTACGTCCCGGGAGTCCCCAATCTGGCCTAGAACAGACCTCAGGAAGAAAAGAAGGGGGCTAGAGCTGTGGGGAGGGCACCAGCAGGGACCTAGCCCCCAACTCCCCTTGTGTCCTCCTCACTCCCAGTTGTTTCCTGGTGGAGAAGCAGCCGCCCCAGGTACTGAAGACTCAGACCAAGTTCCAGGCTGGAGTTCGATTCCTGTTGGGCTTGAGGTTCCTGGGGGCCCCAGCCAAGCCTCCACTGGTCAGGGCTGACATGGTGACAGAGAAGCAGGCGAGGGAGCTGAGTGTGCCTCAGGGTCCTGGGGCTGGAGCGTAAGCTGGGATTGGACCTGGGGTTGGAGAAGGCATGTTAGGGTGATGGAGGCAGCTTGGGGGGCTGGCACTGAAAAGAGCAAGGGATGGGGAGGGAGGGCCATGGGATGTGGAGACCCTGAATGGTCAAGGCAGAGGAAAGGGAGGGACCCATTTAGGGCTGGAATGGGGTGGGGGCATCATGACTTGGCCAAGATGGGGACTCCCCCCTTAAGAACCCAAACAGAGATGTGGAGATTTAGGGCTGGCGACAATGGGTAGTCTACACTCACTCATGCACTCAAGCGCGTCGCCACACCTGGCCACAGTGGGATGAGCTTGTTCACACTCTGACCTCCCCTGGCAGAGAAAGCACTGGAGAAATCATCAACAACACTGTGCCCTTGGAGAACAGCATTCCCGGGAACTGCTGCTCTGCCCTGTTCAAGAACCTGGTGAGGGGCTTTGGGGTGCAGTGGGCAGTGAGGGGGGCACCACTAGGAGACTATGGGACTCTCCTTGGAGAGGATGTCGGGAACCCAAGAGGAGCGGTCTCTGTCCTCATGCACTCGCCCTTGCTCTCCCTCACCCCACACACAGCTTCTCAAGAAGATCAAGCGGTGTGAGCGGAAGGGCACTGAGTCTGTCACAGAGGAGAAGTGCGCTGTGCTCTTCTCTGCCAGCTTCACACTTGGCCCCGGCAAACTCCCCATCCAGCTCCAGGTGAACCGTGGCCCAGCCCTACCCCAATCTGGGACCCCAAGTCCTTCTCTAATGCCACACACAGGGTCCCTGGACCCTCACCTCCTGTGACTGCCCCATACCCCATGTGTCTGGGATTCATGCACACTGGGGCCCGGGTGAGTGGGGTGAAGCAAGAACATGGAGCGCACGGGGCAGGGAATGGTAGCGGATAGCAGCAAACACTTAGGAAGCACTTCCTATAGACCAGGTCTCTCTATTAAATGATACACATGCACATGCGTGCCAGCACACACACGTTTGGTTTTCACAGTAACATTATGAGGTAGGCAGTATTATCAGCCTCATTTTATAGATAAGGACATTGAGACACAGTTTAAGTAGTTTGTCCCAGTCACACAGCTAAGTGTTGGAGCTGGTATTTGAAACCTGGAGGTCTGGCTCCATAGCAGTGACTCATAACCACTTCTCTAGAGTGAGGCCCTGACTGAGCTTCAGAAAACTTTTAATAACATGGCATGAACTTTTTGATTATGATGTGTGAGTCCAGTAACTTCTCTGAGTGCTCAGAGCCAGCCCCCTGAGGAAACTTCTTGCTTTAAGAAACCCCTGTCCAGCTGGGCGTGGTGGCTCACGCCTGTAGCCCCAGCACTTTGGGAGGCCTGTAGCCCCAGCACTTTGGCAGATCCCAAGGTCAGGAGTTCAAGACCAGCCTGGCCAATATGGTGAAACCCCGTCTCTACTAAAAATAAAAAAATTGGCCGGGCGCAATGGCTCACGCCTGTAATCCCAGCACTTTGGGAGGCCAAGGTGGGCAGATCACAAGGTCAGGAGATCAAGACCATCCTGGCTAACACGGTGAAACCCTATATCTACTAAAAATACAAAAAATTAGCTGGGCGTGGTGGCGGGCACCTGTGGTCCCAGCTACTTGGGAGGCTGAGGCAGGAGAATGGCGTGAACCCAGGAGGCAGAGGTTGCAGTGAGCCGAGATCGCGCCACTGCACTCCAGCCTGGGTGAGAGTGAGACTCCGTCTCAAAATAAATAAATAAATAAATAAATAAATAAATAAATAAATAAGCTGGGTGTCGTGGTGCAGGCCTGTAGTCCCAGCTGCTCAGGAGGCTGAGGCAGGAGAATCGCTTGAACCCGGGAGGCAGAGGTTGCAGTGAGCTGAGATCACACCTCTTCACTTCAGCCTGGGTGACAGAGCAAGACTCTGTCTAAAAAAAAAAAAAAAATCTTAGCACTTTGGGAGTCCAAGGTAGGAGGATCGCTTGAACCTGCAAGTTTAAGACCAGCCTGGGCTACATAGGGAGATCCAATCTCTACAAAAAATAAAAACTTAGCTGGATTAGGTGGTCCATACCTGTAGGTCCAGCTATTCAGGAGGCCGAGGTGGAAGGATCACTTGAGCCCTGGAGGCTGAGGCTGCGGTGAGCTGAGATTGTGCTACTGCAGTCCAGCCTGGGCAATAGAGTGAGATACTATCTTAAAAAAAAAAAAAAAAAGGAAAGAAAGAAAGAAAGAAAAGAAACCCCTGTCCTCACCCTCTTCAGGCCCTGTCTCTGCCCCTGGTGGTCATCGTCCATGGCAACCAAGACAACAATGCCAAAGCCACCATCCTGTGGGACAATGCCTTCTCTGAGATGGTGAGGAAATTCCTGGAGTTGGAGGGAACAGGGGCAGGGTGGGTTCTAATATGGGCAGTGGTGCAGGCCTGTTGATGGGGTGGCAGGCATGTTTAAATGGGTGTGACCTTAACACCTTCTCATGGGCCTACTTTCGTACTTCTGACCTCTTTTCACCCCAGTCTTAACAACTATCAGGCCACAGCACTGTAACCTAGAAAAAGTAGCATGTTCGTGAGCGATATCAGGTGCTGTGGATGGGCAGGCCACAGGCAGGTGGGAGGGATGAAGGCCGGCCTGAGGAAGAACAAGACAGTAGCCTCTGATGCTCTCTTCTTCCCCCTTCTCCTCAGGACCGCGTGCCCTTTGTGGTGGCTGAGCGGGTGCCCTGGGAGAAGATGTGTGAAACTCTGAACTTGAAGTTCATGGCTGAGGTGGGGACCAACCGGGGGCTGCTCCCAGAGCACTTCCTCTTCCTGGCCCAGAAGATCTTCAATGACAACAGCCTCAGCATGGAGGCCTTCCAGCACCGTTCTGTGTCCTGGTCACAGTTCAACAAGGTCATTCTCCTGCCCTTTGGACCTCCCACCCCCAAGCTCTTCATGCCTCAGGCACTCAGGGCCTGCTCAGCCTCCATGCAGGGACCTTCCGCTGGAGTCTCCACAGTGCCCTCTCAGGTCCTTTAGGAAGGCCTGTCATGGACCAGGGAGGAAAAACCCCAGGTCTGGGGGTTGGCTCCAGAGATGCATTCTCTGACATCCCTATGGTTTTGGTCTGGGGGTCATCTGTCCTTTCTCTTTACCAGCGACTTGCATGACTCACCCAGGTTGTGTGTAAACAGAGCTCTGATTCAAAGTGACTTTGACCCATTGGAAAAATTGTTCCTGGCTGGGCACAGTGGCTCATGCCTGTAATCTCAGTCTTTGAGATGCCAGGGTGGGCGGATCACCTGAGGCCAGGAGTTCGAGACCATCCTGGCCAACATGGTGAAACTCCATCTCTACTAAAAATACAAAAATTAGCCAGTTGTGGTGGCACATGCCTGTAATCCCAGCTACGTGGGAGGCTGAGGCAGGAGAATCACTTGAACCCGGGAGGCGGAGGTTGCAGTGAGCTGAGATCACACCGCTGCACTCAAGCCTGGGTGACAGTGCAAGACTGTTTCCAAAAAAAAAAAAAAAAGAGGGGGGCCAGGCATGGTGGCTCATGCCTGTAATCCCAGCACTTTGGGAGGCCGAGACGGGTGGATCACCTGAGGTCAGGAGTTCGAGACCAGCCTGGCCAACATGGCAAAACCCCGTCTCTACTAAAAACGCAAAAAATTAGCCAGGCATGGTTGTTTGCGTCTGTAATCCAGCTACTCAGGAGGCTGAGGCAGGAGATGAACCCAGGAGGTGGAGACTGCAGGGAAGATCGTACCATTGCACCCCAGCCTGGGCAAGACTCCATATCAAAAAAAAGAGGCCCAGGCTGGCTCACACCTGTAATCCCAGCACTTTGGGAGGCTGAGGAGGGCGGATCACAAGGCCAAGAGATCAAGACCATCCTGGCCAACATGGTGAAACCCTGTCTCTACTAAAAATACAGAAATTACCTGGGCATGGTGGTGCATGCCTGTAGTCCCAGCTACTTGGGAGGCTGAGGCAGGAGAATCACTTGAACCTGAGAGGCAGAGGTTGCAGTGAGCCAAGATTGTGCCACTGCACTCCAGCCTACTGACAGAATGAGATTCTGTCTAAACTGAACAAAATCCCATAGGGACATGTGCAGTAATACCAGCTACCACGTGTTGACAGCTTATTATATGCCAGGCACTGTGCTTAACACTTTATGTATGTTATCTCACTTAAGCCTCCCGACATTCCTTTGAGGTAGATACTATTATTATCCCCATTTTACAGATGAGGAATCTGATGCTCAGAAGGTTATGTAGTTTGTTCAAGGTCCCAAAGCAGGTGAATGCCATGGCTAGGACAGAACTACATATTTCTGACTCTTGCTCTTTGATTTTATGTTATATTACGTTATTTTATTTTTTGGTCTTCCTTCCTTCCCTCCCTCCCTCCCTCCCTCCCTCCCTCCTTCCTTCCTTCCTTCCTTCCTTCCTTCCTTCCTTCCTTCCTTCCTTCTTTCCTTCCTTCCTTCTTCCTTTCCTTCCTTCCTTCCTTCCTTCTTTTCTTTCTTTCTTTCTTAGTGTGAGACAGAATCTTTAAAGAGAAGAAAGAAAGGCTCATGTGACCAGAGGGTGTTTTAGCAAAAGGGAGCAAGACAGTCACACCCAGCAGGTTACCTTCCTTTGGGCTTCACCTCTGCCACACCTCCTTAGGGACAGGGTGTAGCACAGTAGTTAATAGGGGCTCCAGTGCCAGAATGCCTGGGTTTAAATCCTAGCTCTGCCTCTTACCAGCTGTGTAGACCTGGGCAAGTCATTTGACGTTTTTGGACTTCCATTTCTTCGTCTGTAAAATGGAATTATTATAGTCCCTACCTCCATAGCCTTATAAAGAGCAAATAAATATATGGAAAGGCTTGAAATAGTGACTGGCACACGTAAGCATGAGGATTGGTCGTTGTCATTGATGGAATCTCAGGTTCGGTCCGATCCCTCAGCCCTGTGATTCTGTCATGAGGGCACTCACAGCTCAGTGCCTGCCCTAAACAGGCTCCAGCTCTGGCCCTCCCTTGGCTCACACCATTTCCCTTCTCCCGCTAGGAGATCCTGCTGGGCCGTGGCTTCACCTTTTGGCAGTGGTTTGATGGTGTCCTGGACCTCACCAAACGCTGTCTCCGGAGCTACTGGTCTGACCGGTGAGTCCCCGCCCTGGGTGGTCTGAGCAGCCATACCCCAGTCACCTCCATACTCACTGCCCATGCCCCATCCTCTCTTTCATCCCGGCCAGGCTGATTATCGGCTTCATCAGCAAACAGTACGTTACTAGCCTTCTTCTCAATGAGCCCGACGGAACCTTTCTCCTCCGCTTCAGCGACTCAGAGATTGGGGGCATCACCATTGCCCACGTCATCCGGGGCCAGGATGGTGAGGCCACCCCAGCCAGTCCTCTGTCTCTGTGCCTGTCCCCTCTGGGGTTTCTTCTGGGAATGAAACGTCCTGACCTTCCTGATGCTGATCCTGATCTTTAGGAAGTTCTTCCAGCTTCTCTTCTTCCTTCTGGGGTCTAAATGTTCACCTTCTCACTGTGACCTCTGTGGGAATGGAGACTAGTGGGTCTCGCTCCCTCAGGAGCCCCACCCTAGGTCCTCTCCCCTTTGCCTTGGTGGAGTGAGAACAGGTCTTGTGGTGAGGGTTGGGGAAGGGGAAGAAAGTCTGAACAGGGGGATCTCAGGGTCTCATTCCTACCATAGGCTCTCCACAGATAGAGAACATCCAGCCATTCTCTGCCAAAGACCTGTCCATTCGTTCACTGGGGGACCGAATCCGGGATCTTGCTCAGCTCAAAAACCTCTATCCCAAGAAGCCCAAGGATGAGGCTTTCCGGAGCCACTACAAGCGTGAGCTGGAACTGGCAGTTCTGATTCCTTCCTGTCACCCACTTCCTCCCTGCTCCCCGCTGCCCTCCTCTCCCTGCCTGCCTGTGTCATCCTGATGTCACTCCCTATTACATAGCTGCGCTCCTCTTACTTCCCCATCATCCATGCCCACCTTTTCCACCTCCCTTCCTCCCTAACTCCAGAGCACTCCATGGCTCTCTTTTCCTTCTCACAACAGCTGAACAGATGGGTAAGGATGGCAGGGGTTATGTCCCAGCTACCATCAAGATGACCGTGGAAAGGTGAGTGTGGTGGTGTGGACAGTGGGTAGGTTAGGGGTCTAGTGCTTATCTGCAGGAAGGAGGGGTGGCATCAACTCTTGGTCAGTCATATGTACCTCCTTCCCTCCTCCAGGGACCAGCCACTTCCTACCCCAGAGCTCCAGATGCCTACCATGGTGCCTTCTTATGACCTTGGAATGGCCCCTGATTCCTCCATGAGCATGCAGCTTGGCCCAGATATGGTGTAAGGAGCTGGAAAGACAGGAATGGGAGTGGTCTGTGCAGATGGGCTTTTAGCATGGGCAGCTGGGAGAGCTGGCATTGGGGGCTGAACAGGGAATTTTCCTTTCCATGAAAGGGACACCCGTTCAAAAGCAGGGTGTGGTGGTGTCCAGGAGAAGGGCTGGCATCAGGGGGTCTGTTTTCTTTCCCTAGGCCCCAGGTGTACCCACCACACTCTCACTCCATCCCCCCGTATCAAGGCCTCTCCCCAGAAGAATCAGTCAATGTGTTGTCAGCCTTCCAGGAGTAAGTGAAAAACCTCATGGGGATACCATCCCACTCTAAGGGGGTGGGCATTTGAATTGTTAGAAGAGGCTCTTCTGTGAGAAAGGAGCACCAAATGCTAACAACCTTTTTTCTCTTCTGTCCACTCTAATGAGGGGATAGTAGTTAAGATCCAGACTGCCTAGGTTTGAATTCTAGCTCTACCACTTACTGGTTTGGGGCAAATTACTTAGCCTTTGGTGCCTTATCTGCCCAATGAGGGATAATAATGCTAATAATAATAACCTACCTCACTGCATTATTTTGGAGATTAAATGAGTTCATAACACTTACAAAGCTGAGCATAGTGCCTGGCTCATAGCAAAAGCTGTGTAAGTCCAGTCGTGGATCACTTAATGAAAGAGCATTTTCTGTCCTTAGGCAGTTTCATAGTTATGCGAATATCATAGAGTGTAATTACACAAACCTAGATGGTATAGGCTACTATACACTGAGGCTATATTGTGTAGCCTGTTGATCCTAGCTTTAAACCTGAGCAGCATGATACCGTTCAGAAGAGTATAAGGAAATAGTTACATAATGGTAAATATTTGTGTGATACGAATTTTCAGCTTGATTATAATTTTCTTTTTCTTTTTCTTTTTTTTTTTTTGAGACAAGGTCTCACTCACTGTAGTGCAGTGGTGCAATCTTAGCTCCCTGCAACCTCTACCTCCTGGGCTCAAGCAATCCTCATGCTGTTGTGCACCACGATACTCGGCTAATTCTTTTTTAAGGTTTTTCTGCAGACAGAGTCTCACTTATTGCCCAAGCTGGTCTCAAACTCCCGGGCTCAAGTGATCTTCCCACCTCAGCCTCCCAAAGTGTTAGGATTACAGGTGTGAGTCACTCTGCCTGGCCTTGATTATAATCATATGGGACCACTGTGGTCTGTAGCTGACAGAAATGTCGTTGTGTGGTGCATGACTGTTTCTGTCCTGCCCCTGAGAGCCACTGTCACTTCTCTGCTGTGTTGATTTTTGTTTACTCATCTGTTTTGGCCTTGAGATGACCTAGACATTTTTCTTCCCCAAGTATAACACTCAGGTGCTTATTAACTCTTAGTCAAGGCACAACATCTCCCCTCCCAGAAGGTGAGGCGGGAGTGAGGACTTGGGGACTTAAGAACTATCAAAGTTCAGAGTCCAAAGAAACATTAGAAATTGGCTAATCCACCCCCGTAACACACACATTTTACAGATGAGAAGACTGAGCTCAGAGCATAGAAATAGCTTGCCCAAAGCCACTACTAAGTCAGGATAAGGAGCTGGAGCTTGTTTCCTCACTCAGTGGTCCTGACTTTGCACCACTTTGCCTTTGCCTAGCCTGCCTTCCTCTAACTGTGCTCTCCCTAATTCTAGGCCTCACCTGCAGATGCCCCCCAGCCTGGGCCAGATGAGCCTGTCCTTTGACCAGCCTCACCCCCAGTGAGTGACAAGGCCCCTCCTGACCCCATGTACCTCTTCTTTCCTGGCCTTGCCCCTCCCTCCTTATTTCCGTTGCTGGTTCCTGGCAGGGGCCTGCTGCCGTGCCAGCCTCAGGAGCATGCTGTGTCCAGCCCTGACCCCCTCCTCTGCTCAGATGTGACCATGGTGGAAGACAGCTGCCTGAGCCAGCCAGTGAGAGCGTTTTCTCAGGGCACTTGGTGAGTGGCAGCTTAGTAGTGGAGGCTGGGTGGCATCTAGGGGAGTGGGCGCCATGCCTACTCCACTGCTTCTCCCATCTCCTTGTAGGATTGGTGAAGACATATTCCCTCCTCTGCTGCCTCCCACTGAACAGGACCTCACTAAGCTTCTCCTGGAGGGGCAAGGGGAATCGGGGGGAGGGTCCTTGGGGGCCCAGCCCCTCCTGCAACCCTCCCACTATGGGCAATCTGGGATCTCAATGTCCCACATGGACCTAAGGGCCAACCCCAGTTGGTGATCCCAGCTGGGAGGGAGAACCCAGAGAGACAGCTCTTCTACTACCCCCACAGACCTGCTCTGGACACTTACTCATGCCCTGCCAAGCAGCAGATGGGGAGGGTGCCCTCCTATCCCCACCTACTTCTCAGTCAGGAGGAAAAGACAGGAGAATGCATGGTGGGTGGAGCCAATCCACTCCTTCCTTTCTATCATTCCCCTGCCCACCTCCTTCCAGCACTGACTGGAAGGGAAGTTCAGGCTCTGAGACACGCCCCAACATGCCCGCACCTTCAGCGCGCACACGCACGCACACACACAGAGCTCTCTGAGGGTGATGGGGCTGAGCAGGAGGTGGGCTGGGTAGGAGTACAGGTTAGGGCATGGAAGGCTTCTCCGCCCACTCTGACCCAGGGCCTAGGATGGTTAGGCAGGAACATACAGACACATTTACACTAGAGGCCAGGGATAGAGGATATTGGGTCTCAGCCCTGGGGGAATGGGAAGCAGCTCAAGGGACCCTGGATGGAGCACAGGAGGGGTCTGGACATGTGGTTACCAATACAAGTTTTGCCCTGATTAAAAAATCTCCCAAAGCCCCAAATTCCTGTTAGTGAGGTGGAGGCTTCTGATATGTGTATGAGACTATGCAAAAGTACAAGGGCCGAGTTTCTTCATGTATAGCTGTGTGAACGTGTATGTACCTAAGATATGTTAATGTATAGCTGGCATGTTAGTTGCATGACCACATAAAACATGTGTCTGCTTTTGCCTGTTTGACAACACAAATTTGGGAGTGTGAGACATTGCACAGAAGACAGCAGCAAGTGTGCTGGCCTCTCTGACATATGCTAACCCAAAAATACTCTGAATTTGGAGTCTGACTGTGCCCAAGTGGGTCCAAGTGGCTGTGACATCTACATATGGCTCCATATCTCCAATGATGCCTGGGAGCCAGGGTGAGAGTCTGGGTCCAGGCCTGACCATGTGGCCCTCCAGTGTATGAAGGGGCCCTGCCTGCTGTATCTTTTCTGTTGCCCTATCCACTGCCAGCTTCCCTTCACTCCCCCATCCCATGTCACCATTTCTCCCTCTCGAGGCAGGGGTCATAGATCCTAAGCCATAAAATAAATTTTATTCCAAAATAACAAAATAAATAATCTACTGTACACAATCTGAAAAGAAAGACGCTCTAACTGCTCAGATAAGTGCTGCGGTCCAGCCCCCAGCTGGAGGAGACCCTGAGTCCAACCCAGGCCTCCCAAGGGGGCCAGTGAAGGGATCCCACACCCACCGCCCCCATGTAGGGCAGGAGGGAGAAAATTGCAAAGGACTTGGGGGATAGATGGGAATGGGAGGGCAAACTGCAGCACTTGTTAAATTAAAGAAACAAACCAGAAGCACAAAAACGGGGAAGGAGAGGGAAGGAGGAGCAGGTCCAGTGTTCCCAGGCCCCCAATTCTGGGGGCAAATGTTGCCACTTTTAGCTGCTGGACCTTCCCAGGGAAGTCCCCCTTTCCCCCTTGTCCAAACTGAGTCCAACTGCTCACACCACTGGTGCAAACCTAAAGAGAATGGGAGTGTGTCGTGTGAGGGAGGGGAGAACCCCAGATGCCCTGGAGGCAGAGTCCTTGCCCCCTCGCTCTGGGCAGGGGTGAGGGCACCACGCACCCTCCTTGTGTCCTCTCTCCAGGCCCCTGCTTGTTATTGCTTGAAGCCCCACAGTCTTATGCCCATGGAGCAGGTGGGGAGGCAGGAGAAGGGCAGAGGAAGGATCCAGGGTTGTGACTATATTCCAGGGATGGAGAGCATGGGGGTCTGTGTGAGCCAGAAGTCTGAGGTCCTGGGTCTGAAGACACCAGTCCACCCCTCACTGCCGGCTGGCCTCAGCCTCCACTTTCACGCTGCTCCTGCGACCCTCCACCAGTGCGGGATGGGGTCCTGGGGCAGGACATCTGTCCAGCAGCCCTTCCTCGAACTCTGCAGGGAAAAGGGGGCAGTTAGGAGACTGCAGGGTGACTGGCTGCAGACAGAAGTGGTTGGGAACAGAAGCAGGGGCAAAGAAAGTTGTGAAGATGGGCTCCGTTTGTTGAATTACTGCTTCCTGCCCACTGCATGTGTATGGGGGGTTCCATTCCTGTGTGTGTGAGCCCCCTCCCCTCTCTGGCTGTGTAGCTCTGTCTCTGTCTGTGTCTCTCTCTTTCTCTGTCTCTCCCGCCTCCTCCGTTGTGCTGGAATTTCTGGTTCTGTCAGGAGCTGCGGGGGTGGTTTGGCTCTGACCTCTCCCCTCCCCCCCTTCCCAAGCTTTGCCACCCCCACTCATCCCTGGCCCCCTCCCAGGTCACCCTACTATGGCCCCCCAAGTGTTTTGGTAGCCAAATCAGGGGGAGCACAGGAAGCCAGCCTCCGAGCTCCTCCCTCAAGAAGAGGCCCCCTTCCAGTCCCCGCCCCCACTTCCCACCCACGCACAGTTTAAAAATACCAAGCCAGGGTTGGTGGCTTTGTCTGCTGCGTCACTCTCAGCCCAGCGGCTGCCCAGCCCTCTGCCTGCCCACTCCCTCTTCCCCCTTCCACACACAAAGCATCACTGCTTTGGGCTCCTCTGCTTCCAAGCTGGGCATCCCCATCCCCATCCCCGCAACTCCTAGCCTGCTCCCCACTCCTGGGTTGGTGGAAGTGCCATCTGAGCTTCCCTTATTGATGCTCCTCCTTCCTGCGCTTTCATCCTCTTTTCTCTGTTCCCCGTTCCCCAGTTCCCCTTTCACAGATCTACACTAGGACCAGACTTTTCAAGGTGGGAGCAGCCCGGCAGGGTCTGCCTCACCGCACCCCAAGGCCTGGCTGGCTGGAGCCCAGCCCTCCTACTGCCCTCTCTGACGACTATATCCCTCTTCCTCCCACCTGGCCCCAGGACACCAGAATTGCTGTGTGGGGCCTGGGTGGCCGGGGTGCTTGGGGACAGCACTGCTGGCTGCCTCACCTGCGAGAGGTGGCTTCGCAGGCACACAGGGGCTGAGGCGGCCCACGCGGTCGTGTGAGACGAGGCGGGCGAGCCGCAGCCCCTCGTCCATCAGTGTCTGCTGCAGGATGTGGCGGCTCCATAGCCCATGGGCTGGCAATGCCAGAGGCAGGTCAGCAGGGGGCGGCGTCAGCCTTGGACATGACCCCACAGCTGTGGGCATGGGCACTGGTCAGGTAAGGGGCTGCAGCCAATGGAACCCCCACCCTCAACCACACAGCCAGCCCACAGGCCCTTCTGCCCCCCCTCCAGCCAGGCTTTCCAACCCTGTTCCAGGCACTGCCTCCTGGCTCACTCCTCCCCCCAACCCTTCCCCTACTCCCCCACCCTCAATGAAGAGAAAAGTATTCTGAGGCACACTCACCCTGCAAATGTCCATCCAGACTCTCCCCAGACAGGCTGGCGCTGTCCTCCTCCAGGCTGGGGCGGTATGGGGGTGCATAGGACTCAGGGCCTGGGGGAGGCTGCTGGATTTCAGGGTGACTCTGTTCTCCAACCTGTGGATGCCCAAAATGGGGAAATGAAAACCTGGCAAGGGAAGGGATTGGGGAAGGCTGCCCAATGCCCCTACATGCACCCCGGAAAACATACCTCTTGTTTCAGCTTCTTCAGTGGAGGGCCTCCCAGTTCTTCAGGGTGGAGCCTGAAAAAATGGATAAGAATAAAGTGGGTGAGGCTGATGAGGGCCACGTGATGGGCAGAGCACAGAACCCGGCCAGAGACGTGTTATTTAAAACCTTTGTCAAGAAGCTGGCCGAGAAAGAGTCTCTAGCTCAGGCCCTATTGTTGTAGGGGGTTGGGGGGACCCGACATGGATGGAAGGAGAGACCAGACCTGAGACAAGCTGACTTGACCAAAAGCAGGACATCCAGGTGGGCGGGAAGCAGGCCTAGAGCAGCCTGAACTGAAGGTTAGGACATGATCTAACTCCACAGCAGGATTCCAGTCTAGGAAGGACCTGGGGAAGGGGTCTCACCTGGAGCCCTTCAAGGAGGACAAGTAGGTGCTCTCTCGGGCTACTTGGCGGGACAAAGAGAAGAGCTCCACTCTCCGCAATAAGAGTGTGTTGTCCCTCATGCAGAACTGGGCAGCAGCCTCATTGATGGTGAGCTGTGGAGAGAGGGCAGCCAGGAGAGTCAGAATTTGAACTCCCCTGCTGCCTCACCAGACCTCCTCACACCCCTTCACCATCAGACAAATGAGGCCCATCCATCAGATGCTTGCTTTGGTTTTGACACTACATGGAAGCTTTCTGAGGAAGACAGACAGAGATCAGCACCCATAGCTTCCTAGGAATGCCCAGGGCCTCTTCCACTCCTGTGGGGTCCTGAGTGACAAGGAGCTGAACAGTTTGGTGCAGCCTGTATTTCTGCTTCCCCCTTAGCTGAGGATGGAAGCACTGTGGCCACTGGGGTGGGGGCCTGTCAGGGAGGGGATCAGGGCCTGGGGTCCTGGTCAAGGGGTAATGAAACAGAGTTGGAGACCGTAGAAACTTGCAGAGGTAAGTGGCTGGAGGCCCGGGAGTCAAGGTCAATCCTAGGAGGCCTGGGGGTTCTCACCTCGTGCAGGCTGAGCTGCTTGCCCTCCCGCCGCTTAGAGTCGAAACGGCCATAGATGATGCTGTATTTGCGGATCTCCTCTTCCTTCTGGCTGTCATTATCATCCATCTCAAAGATGTGCCCAACGCTCCGTGCCAGCTTCTTATTCAGCTTTAGCAGGGATGTGACCTCCCCAGCATCCCCCCTTGGGAAGCTCCGGAAGATCCTCTCCACACTTTCCACCACCATGCGTACCATCTCTGGCTCCAGTCGGTCTGGTCCACCCCCAGTCCCACCTGCTGCCAGCCCCCCAGCCCCAGTCCCCTCAGGGACTCCTCCCCCTGCAGGGGGGGAGAAGGGGGGCGAGCCAGCCTCCTCTTCTCCTCCTGCCCCAACGTCCGACTCTGGAGTGCTCCGGCCTGGCCAGATCCGGGGGTCCCCTGCCCCAGGTCCCCCAGGCAGTGGTGATAGCTTCTCTCCAAGTTCAAGGGGGCTCTTGGGGCTAAAACTGCGGGCACTGCCTGCCTTTTCCCCTGGGCTGCCATGCCCATTGCTCATGCTCCCTTTCCGGGTACCCGCAGTCTCAGAGATCTTGAAGAGCGGGATGCTGGAGACGGGAACAGCAGGCACTGGTTGACTGAAGAGCCCTGGATTGGTGGCCCACTCTCTCAGTGCCTTCTGCAGGCGCCGGACATGGAGGGGCTTGGTGGCCATGCCCACAAGTGCCATGATCTCCAGAAACTCCTCCTCACCCGCCTCACACAGCTGCTGCACGTCGTCCCCTCCCTGCTGGATGAAGGTCTCATAGTAGGAAAGGAGGTTGGCGCGCTGCAGGACCCGGTACAGCTGCAGCTCCCCCAGCGTCCGAGGCAGTGCCATGGCTCGGGCACTGGGCCTGAGAAGGAGGGGCACAAGAGAGAGGCAGTCGGTGCAAGTCCCCCTACTGGGTACCAACCCACACTAACAATTGTTCCCTCTCTCCTGCCTGCTTTTCTTCCCCTCTCTCATTTGGATGCTGTCCTGCACAGTGCCCAGGTCTGAGTACAGACTCTGAGAATCGGGCACTGCTCAGAGGCATGGACAAGCCAGTGCTGTCCTAGACTGGCCCGAAGCCCCAAAAATCAGTGCCCTGTGTCTGCAGGAGTCGAAGCCTCTTAAACCTTATCTTCAGCTTTTATCTTTTTGGTCTGTGGTAAGAAGAACTTGAGCGCTGAGGCTAACCAGCACCGACCTCGGATGGCTGGACCTCCCTCTCCCCCGAAACACAATCCTCACCTTCCACTCTAAACACTCAGCAGTCTCAACACTAAAGTGAAGTCGCCTATACTAAAGTGAATGTAGAACCCCTGTCTCCCGCACAGTGGACGCTGCTGGCCAGCTTCATTCCCTGTGAAGGAGCCACAGCCCCAGGTGGCTAGGAGGGAGGGTGTGGCACCTTCCCTGGCTTTCCCACTCAGTGAGCCAGGTGGTGCCTTGCTCTTCGCTCAGCTTTTCCGAGGGATTAAGCATTTTTTTTTTTTTTTTTTTTAAGACAGAGTCTCGCCCTGTTGCCCAGGTTGGAGTGCAGTGGCGCTATCACGGCAACCTCCGCCTCCCGGGTTCAAGCGATTCTCCTGC